AAAAAAAAAATACACAAACCCAAATAGGAAATAAAACGGTTATCGAATAAGCACGTGTCATATTCTGTGTACTAAACTCCTAAAACACTGGTGTTTCAGATTTTAGAACGGCCAATGCAATTTATGAAAGAAATCAATTAAATTTGTACGTGGATGTGTGTGAAAATTTAATAGTTAACATTTTTCATAACTGACATTTTTCGTAACGGATTAAAACTACGTTTATTTTCTAATTAAATTACGTAACTGAGTTGCATGTAATCACAACACTGTTTGAAGGACCTCTGTAAGGTACCGTACCGGTGACGCTATACGGCATCTTTACTGCTTTCTACTGCCAAACTGATGACAACGCAACTCACACCGATTTTAACGTAAACCAAGAATAAGGTTTTAAAAAGATGCAGAATTTGGAAATATTTGATCAGTCCGTTAAATTCAAAATCTCCACAATAAACACTTCTTACCTGAGAACCTAAACTGTAGATGAGCTCACAACTAAACACACCCACACCAATCCAGTCACAATGGTTTCTACAAAGTCCAGAAGCAAAACCAAATAAAATGTACTTATGTGCGAGAAAGCAGAACTCTTTAAAAAGATTAGTCACGCCAACAACAACGTCCGTACGCTCCATTCACTTATACTGCTCCAACAACTCGAAGACGCTTTTCTCTGCTGTTAATGACCATCCATCAGTGATTGGCTGATTATCAATCAATGAATCACTGGTTTGTAGTGTAGCACGCTGTACTGATAACGCTGATAATGATTGCTCATTATCAGGTTACACATAAAAAAAAAAAATAATTACCGGTTTATTCGATGATTCTTTTATTTCACAAAACTATCAAATGGCCAAGAGGAGTGATTGAGTGATGAGACTGGAGTGCGCCTGCTTGGAAAACTTAGTTCATTAAAGACACAAAAAGTGATTTGACAACTTATTTGTTTTTGGGGTGTTCATTACAAGACAAGATAAAATATTAACATTCCTGACCAACCAATAACACGTTTAGAGTGAACCTACGCCGGGGTCACCATTTGATTGAAGGGGTTATCGTCCAATCACAAAGCAGAAACTGAGTGCTCAACGCACAACTGACAGGGCATTCCACCAATCAGATGATTCCGATGGGCGGTCCTTAGCCTCATGGTGACAGTCGTGGTCTCTGTTGTACGCGCTGGTTTAGACGAGCAGTATGGCGGAAGAAGAGAGTGAGTTGGAGTTAGACAGGTTTAAGAAAGAGCTGGAGACTTTGTTGAACACTAGTGCAAGCGACGAACGCGGACTCCAGAGCAAGACGTACTGTGAAAGATTCTGTGAGGTAAGATGACAGGGCGGACGAAAGCGTTTGCAAGCTTTATATAAAAAGCAAAACAGAGATGTGCTAACTAGTGTTAGCAGCATGTCAGCAGATTCCCCTCCCCCAGTGTACAGCCACCGTGAGCCCAAATCTCACTGGATTTTACCTCATTAACTACGGGTGTCTTCACAATACTGTAGGAGTAGATCCCAGTAGTCTGAGAGTTCATTTTTAATCACGATTTGTAAAACTCGGGCTGTCACTTTCTTTCAGTTAGCTTCATTAGCTGGTTATGTGGCTAACGGTTAGCATTCCCAAGTTGCATTCCAAAACAAGCAGACTGCGAAAGATCAGCGTATGCACACTTCATCATATTTCATTTGCCAGCGATCTCATGAAACAGAAAACGGACCAACCCAGTTTGACAAATCCTTATGCACGACTATAGGGTGTTAAGTGCTAGAATAAGTCGATGCTGTCAGTGTTAGCAATAGTTGATGTCTTATTAACCAGTCTCTGCAAAGGCTGGTTTAAAATCGCTGGTTAGTTCCAACAGTTACTAAGCAGCTTTTCATTTCTGATGAAATTGTTGCTAAGTTAATGAATCCATCCTTCTTTCTGTAAAAATAAACTCTCTTATGGTGGTTTACGAAAGTTTGATTGACGTTACCTGATTTGTATCAGTAAGTTCATGTACTGTCATTAAATGCTAGTGACTTCCATGACTATAAACAAACACCAAAAGTCGCTTGACAGTAGTGTTTTCTGGCTTTAGGAGCACATAGCGATAGTAATATATAATGTCCATATTTTCTTTTTCTATTAATTGTCTCTTTTTATTCTTTTTTTAGTTGGTGGTGGAGCAAACCGGACGATGGCAAGTGCCTCTTCCCCAGCTCCAGGTGTTGCAGAGTGCCCTGTGCTATTTTGTCCATGGTGCGGCATCATTCCCTCCAGAGTGCGAGCATGTACGCTACACTCTGAGTAGTCTGGCCCTGTGAGTATATACTTCTGCTTTTGCCGTTAAATCTTAGTAATGCTGTCAAAATCTTAGGAAGTAGAGCACACACTGAAGTCACAAGACTGTCGTCATTATTCCCCCTCATGTCATAAATCTGTGTGACTTTATTATTGCTATTTTGAAGAATGTTGGTTGCCAAACAGACAGAGTTTACAAAGAAAAAGAAAGAAAACAAAACACAGAGACATTTCTCGAAATATCTTTTTTGTTCCACAGAAGAAAGAAAGTCATACAGGATTGGAAAAGGGATGTGCAGGGTTACTAATTTCTTTAGCGTGTTGTAAAAGTGACTTGAAATGTCTTGCTGTGTCATACAGTCAAATTTAATACTGAATGCTGATGAAAAATAGGTTATGTACATGCAGTTTGCTTGCCTTGCTTTATAATCAATGTATATTAAACGTAAGCATTCATTTAATCAATATCAGCTAATATAGACCTGTTTATTAAAATAAACTGAATCGCTGTAATACTGGTATCATAACCATACCTCATAACCAGTAGTATAACAAGCCTATAAGCAAGATTAATTGTTATATGCCAGTTTGACATAAAAACTTTTTTTTTTACTCTTTTGATGGTGTTTTGTGCTTCTGATATACACTTTACAAAATACTATATTAATTTTAATATATTAATGACTCATTTGAATGCAGCAGTGTTGTTTAGTTAACTAGTGTTGCACATACATGGCGGTCAGTAAATGATGACAGCAATTTCTTTCTTTTAGGTGAACTCTTCCATTAAGTATTTGCTACTTTGGATGTCTGTAATGTTAATTGTCTATTCATGGGTAAACGGTGTGTGTTGAAATTGCTGAGGTTGAGTTGACAATAGTAATTCAAAAAGACAGCGAATGCAGTGCAAGTTCCAAAACATCTTTGCCCACCTCCTAATATAAAACTAATCCTGTCTGAATAGGACCTAAATCCACTGGAGGTTATAAAAGTCACTAAAAGGCTTACAGTATCATTTATTGGAGCAACAGGTTGTAAAAGAAAATAATTACAGAATAACTTATTTAAAAAAAAAATATTTACAGGAGTATCTTCGAACTGCTGTTGTTCTTTGGAAAAGATGAATTCATCGAGCATCCTTTAAAAGACATTCTAGACTCATTCCAGGTAACTGCATTACCTCAATCCTATTATTCTTGGGGGGAGCATCATGTTGAATTCTGCTTACTGGACTTTCAGTGCTTATTGTGTTGTGTTACTCATATGTTTCCATGTATATGGTTTGATGTTTTAAAATGGTTTTTCTGCTCTATTCTAGGACTGCTGTGCGAGCCTGGTAAGCCACCAGAATGTTTACCTTCTGCAGGTTAGACATATTATTAAAGATGGAGGTCCTTGGGCAAACCCTGTTCTTCAGGCCATTCTCAAGGATTCAGAACGACCACAAGAAGACGGTTAGTCAATCAAGCTTTTGTTTAAAAACAGTGTATCATCAAATGGTCTATACGCATTTCCTGAACTGTTAATGGAATTTATTATTGTTTTTGTTCACAGTGGACAAATATCTGAGCTCAGAAGTATCCGTTTTCATTGAGCTACGTGTGCGTTATCTGGTGGCCTGTGAGAGGCTTCCTGAGGCATTGGCACTGACAAGGAGATGCATCCGGCACTCTGTTGTAGGGAGGCATCTCTATTTCAAGCAAGCCTACCTCATCTGCCTTTGGAGGGCTTCTCTTCATGAGCGCTTGAACAAGGGGGTGAGTGAGAAGTTATATAATTAATAGTAACACCTAGGCCTGGGCAATAAAACGGTATGGGTATTTATCGACGGTACACCTTCATCGATAACGCCAGAAAAATGTTCGATATACCGTACACTAGTTACACTCTAGTTTAATTTAATCGCACATGATATGAGTGACAAGCAGACAGCACACATGAACACCGATAACATATCTGTATTTATGTTATCTGTATGCACCAAGGGTCTGAGAGTAACGCAATTTCAATTCTCTGTGTGTATGTGCTGTACATGTGGAAGAATTGACAATAAAGCAGACTTGACTTGAAATGAGGGCTGTGCCTTCTTGTGATGAGGAGAATTGTGAATAAAAAATGAATATTAGTCAAATTTTAAATGTTAAACTTTGCATTCGAATGCAAAAACGGTGCAATCGAATGTAAGGTGTGCTTAGGGGAAGCCTTATTAGTGGCGCACGAGATGCAGTGATAATGAAACTGTCGTTGTTGCATTTTAAAGGCATAGTTCACCCAAAAATGAAAATTATGTCATTAATTACTCACCCTCATGTCGTTCCAAACCCGTAAGACCTTCGTTCATCTTCGGAACACATTTTAAGATATTTTTGACGAAATCTCAGAGCTTTCAGACCCTCCCATAGACAACAAGGGTCCTTACACGATCAAGACACAGGAAAGTACCAAGATGATCGACAAAGTAGTCCATGTGACATCAGTAGTTCAACTGTAATGTTACGACGCTACGAGAATACTTTTTTGCGCAAAGAAAACAAAAATAATGACTTTATTCCACATTTTCGTCTCTACCATGACCATGTACCATGCGTCATGGTACTGCCGTGAACGCACGTCCACAAGTGAAGCAGTAGAGACGAAAATGTGGAATAAAGTCGTTATTTTAGTTTTCTTTGCGCAAGAAAGTATTCTCGTAGCGTTGTAACAGCTTATGGGTGGGTCAAAAAGGATGAAAGCCATTGATTTTGGTGTCCATGGCAAGTGCATCTTTTTCCATTGAGCTTAAGTGAAATTAAAAAAAAAGAGGGATTGCGAGTTGTATGAATAGTTGTATATTATGTTTAATTGCAACTTTTCTTTTTCGTCCTGCTTTTTTGCAGTATCTGGATGGTGTAACCCCTAATATGCACTGCAAATGATTGGTGCAGAAGACTGGAATGCCTCATTTATAATTAGCGAAGCATAGCTGTGGTGTAAATATGAGACTTATTGTGCAGTGTTGGCTTAATTGATTAATAATGGCAGCATTCTTGAAAGACTAGAACTCTGCACATAGACAGTCAGTGAACTTTTGCTGGGCTGAAACAGTTTAAGTGTAAGGTAGATCATTTATTAAACATTTAGTACACATATATATATACACACAGTGGTGTGAAAAGGTTTTTGCCCCCTTCCTGTAAAAATAAAACAGGAAGGGGGCAAATATATATATATATATATTTTTTTTTATGTGCAAAGAGGGCCAGTGTGAAGTTGGCCTCTTAAACTGGGAAGGCAAATAATTTTTTAGTTTTGAAAGTCCACATAAAGAAAAGCACATGCATTTGTTTCATGCAAAATAAGTATTTTACAGTAAAATAATGCAGTATTAGGGCTGT